AACTTCAGGTTTTTTATTAGAGCTGTATTTCACATTTATGCCTTTATGACTGTAATACAAATACAGCTGTTGAAACTCTTGTTTGATTCTGAAATCTCCTTCTACTGTTTGAACTACTGAAAGAGCTCAGCACTTCCAGCAGGCTATATTTTGTTCTTCATAAACTTCTTTATTGCTAAGTTTTTGTTCCTTTTTTGTTTTTCTCTAACATTACTGTGAGATATTGTAGCATATATGAATGGAATTTCATGCAGCAGTGATGATTTATCACAGAAGCTTTTTTAGAATCAGTCATTTCCTTTTCCTTCCACAAGAAAGGTTTGTTGTTATCTCATTCAAATTTTAGCCTTCTCAGTACTGTAACCATTTTCCCCTTTTGCCTTTGCATATTGTTTAGAGCTTCCCAAGCTTGATGGGGGGGGGAAAAGCCGGCCCCTGTGCTTTTTCTAATTATGGAATCCATTCTGCCCTGAGATATCTCCTACTGCTACCTTTCAGAAAGTAGTCATGTGATATTTGGGTCTCCAAACATGTTAGTAGCTGCTAAATAAAGAAATAATCAATCTGATGATGATAAAAGGGCTGAATTCTGCATGATATGATAGTGTGGAGGTCCTGGCATCGTAGAGAAAACATCTGCAAAAGTCCTTCTAATTAAGGCAGGATTCACTGTAGAGGTAGGGAGCAATACACTGGTGTATGCTTCGTTGTTCCTCTTCGAAAGGACAGAGTGAATGTAGAACTTCCACAGGCACAAAGGAAAGGACCCTGGGAGGTTCAGCTCTGCTTGGGTCAGCAGCAAATTTGTGCAGCTCAGAAAAGCGGAAAATTGCTTGGCTGTTAGGAACACTGTTAGCAAAGTTCTGAGCATATTCACAGGAAACCTGAGGGTACTTGAGTCTCACTAATTTGAGTGATGGGACTAAGGCTTCTCGGTACTTGTTCTTCAAGAGCTGAAATTGCTGCAGAATTGAGTTGAAACACGCTTGGAACTTAGTCTTGAAGTTGCAGATCACATCGACATGGAGGTTATTTGAGGTATAAGCTCTAGCCTGTCTGTAGAACATCCTGGAAATATTTCTGCCTTCTTATGTAGAGTGAAGAGACTTTAACATTCTGCTTCCTCCTCTGGGGTACTGTAGCAGCAGGGAGCAGCATACAACCCTTTAGTATTCCCTGATATGTAACTGTCACTTACCATTTTTAGTTCTAACAATTTTTCTTTTCCTCATGTGCAGCAGTTTTTTGTGTTTGTGTTTTTGTTTGGTGTGGGGTTTTTTGTTTGTTTTGTTTTGTTTTCCCAAAGAGTAATAAACAGTGTTTCTGGAATGGGATGTTGAAATACTGGCAGCCACAAGGAAAGACAATATTTGAAAATCCCCGCAGGAGAGAAACTTGTCTACATTCTTAAACATATTAACTGAATGAGTTTATAAAACAGGGACAGTTTCTTCTATTACTTGTAAAACAGGAGCGAAGACTTATTGCAGTTGGAAAGGATTTAGAGTGGCTTTTCTCTGCCAAATTTCAAATGACTTTTCTTTTATTCTTGTCAACATATTTTTCAACAGTTCACAAAAACATTGATGGGCTATCTTGTGTTAAGGTTTAATTCTACAGAGAGCTGTGTTCCTGCTGCGAGGTATTTGGTGGGCTCAGACTCTGCTCTTCAGGAGGAGCAAGGGATGCACAGTACCTTGCTGCCTGGAGCCTAACTGCGATGGGAGCTGTTGGTGTCATGAATGCTAGTATAGAAACTGCACCAGCTGGGTTCTATCCTTAGCCCACATCAGAGTGAAAAGTCTTGGAACTGACTAGCTTCTATGAAATGCGTTTTTGGTTTTGGTGTTTCTGTATTGTATTCTGACATTATTAATGCTAGGACACTAGTGGAAAAACATTAGTCTATTAAAAAGATTGTTGTAATACTCAGTAATTTTCTCACATGCATTATGGATATTTAAAAATCAAATATTTTACAGACCCTAAAAGAAAATGTAATGGAAGGTCTTTCAGACAGTCTTGTAGGTTTGGAAGCCTTTATTTTCCCCAGCGGAACAGAAATGGTGCAGAGGGCTGAATTCAGTTGCAGTGCAGATGGGAGGCAGGGTAGGCATGGAGCTGTGTACCCATAGCTGCATCATGTGCTTGGGGGCACACCCGTACCACACAATGCTAATGTATATGTTTTGTGCAGAGAGAGCAAAGAGGCTTCAGTCCCCTGACAAATGTGCTCCTGCTGTGTCACACTGTGCTACACTGTAAGGATTCCACAGGGTTAAACTTCAATGCCTAAACAATTTGTTCACAGTCTTTTCACAGGCTTTTTCTGATTCCTGACAAAGGAAATGATTGCACAAGGCAAACCTTCAAAGCGATCTGATTGTGCAGAGCACAATCTAAATCAGACCTAGCATAAATACTTCTTTACACCAGCTAGGCAGTTCTGTCCTAGGCCAGTGGCTGTTTGGCCTCTTGTCACAGGACTCTCCTGGACGATGCCTTGTCCCACTAGGCTGTGGCAGTGCAAAGTCCTCTCCCACATGCAGTGAGACCCCCTCAGCTCTCCTTCGCTGGAAGGCTGCTTCCCTGCAGTGTACATATGCCTTGTGGCTGGAGGCTTCCCTGGAGTTACGTGTCTGCACAAGGCAGATCTAGCCCTTCACAGCAGAATTACTGCTAATTTGTATTTTAGACTTACATTACTCTACGGCAAGAGTTGCTTTTTTCCTGTAGTGTTTCACAAGCTCTGATGTACAGCGTTTCTATTCCATCCTCTCACTTGGCTTAAGTCATCATCTAAAACTATATTAATGGTTGTAATTGGTACTCTGGCAGGCTTCAAGTGTGTATTGTTTGTCTCCATTTCATAGAATAAAATGTAGATTTGCATTTTAATTCATTGTGTAAATGCTGTTTTCATGCTAGTTTGTGACTGTGATGCTAGAGAAGATGCACAGACTCATTTTGCAGCTTGAGCCTAACACCACCTTTGGATGTTTGTCTCAACTTACCACTCAACAGTGCCTACTTCTGAGCTTAGGACATAGAAGCATTTCAAGTGAGAGTCCCTCTCACAGAGGTGGTTTATTAAGACACACAAAGAAAATTAAGCCAGTGCTTTGGCAGAAATAAATGTAAGCAGAGAAAGCCCTTAAATCATTTTGCCAGTTCCTTTGACTGCAGCATTGGGACCTTTCAACCCAAGTCTTTAAAGATCTTCTCTGGGGGCCCGAACCATGATTTTTGTCTACATTACTACAGCTATTATTACATCTACAGATGTAAACCAGGACCTTGAAAGAACATGTGGATGTGTAAAACTTTACCATATTTCATTCAGTGGATGGATTAGCTGACCTACAAAAGCTCCATTCTTTATCTGAATGACTGGAAACCAAGAGGATCTGAAAAGGGGAAATTCAAGGAGTTCTACTCTTATGCATGTAATATGTTCTGCATTTCCAGAGGGGTTTACCAAGGGGTTGCTTTGTCTCATCTGAAGTGATCAATCTGCTGGAGATCTGCATCTTAACAAACAAATGAACAAAAAGTTGAAGGAGCTGAATGGAACTGGTGAAGGAAGAAATGAATCTCATTTTGTGAAGTAAAGCATAAAGTTACTGTAATTAGGAAGTGGATGGAGTGTGGGTAGATCCTCAGTGTTCTTGATTTGGTCTAGGGGGTTGTGAATTACCTTGGCCGAGAGAGTTTTAGGCATGGAGGATGATGTGGGGCAGCCTTCAGCTTCTGATGTAAAACAGAGTCTTCTGATTCTGGGCATGTAGGTGTGGCTGACTATTGTCCCTTCAGGTGAGGAATCTGTGACAGCATGCTTGCCTCAGTATCTTCCCTAATGCCTGCTTTGTGTCCAGCGTCTTGGTTGTTAGAGTTACAGATCTCACTATGTGACCAGAGTAGAAGGGAAATATGGAGTAGCCCTACATTGCAAAGCCAGTGGTTCCACTTCTTGCACTGACATAGGATTGCGTTTATGGTCTTGGGTAATTTTTACACTTCCCTGTGTATCATCATCTTCAGCTGTGAAGTATCTGTTATACTCCTTCGTTAACTTGCAGAAGTGCAAGGAAAATTAAATTCATATGAGAGGTCGATGCAGCGGAACTTAAGTTCTTTATAACTAATACCATATTCAGAAAGGAATATTGTTCAAGAGCCTACAAAAATTTACCTAAGAAATCTTCGAGACGCTGATTTTTAGAATTTGAGTTGAACTACAAGCCAGTGGATTTTGTGAGTTTCCTCATCTGACACAATTGGAAGGGATCTTGGAGAAAGAGGAAATTACAGTGTCTCTCATGACTATACTAAAACTATTGATATCATTTTTGTATAAGACAACTGTTAATATTGATGCTACTATGCTGTATTCTGCATTCAGCTCTATAATTTAGCTAGTGAAAATACTAATTACATTATTACCACTGTACTGTGTTTCTAGATACTGCAAGAAAGACTGAATTAGAAAATACCTAGAAGCAACACTAATGCACGTTTTGATGATGTGAGTGCCTTTTAAACCAGGAAGTGGTGTTGTGCTGCCTTTCACAAGAAGCTACTCTTACTTGGGTTAAGCACATTTTGTAGGTGTTTGTTTCCCTCCCACCCAGCGGTTCGATCGTGAGGCTCGCTGAGTGCTCAGTGAAGCGCTGAAGACCATGATCTGCTGTCTACAGCAGGAACTGGTTGAGTTCACTCTCATGCATCAGCAAGCTATGGAGAGGAACAATGCGAGTGTGCTAGTGTCATCATCTTAACAGATTTCGACAGAGATTTTGAAGGCTTGCTTTTTCTTCATAAAAATATGCTTGTTCCTACCTCCGAATTGAGTTAAGGAATAGTTACCCAGATTAACTAGCTGTTCTGTGTTTTGTTCATTTTTTAACAAAAATTAAATTTTGAGGGGGAGGGAAAAGTGTGTTAATGTCTTTCTTTAAAACAAAGTTCTTGATTATTTTATGTGTCAACATTAGCAACAAACCTCTTTGTAATCTGACAAGATCTGTGCCCTTTGCTCTCAAGGAAAGTTTTGTCTTCCCTGATACATACTGGTGATGTTTTATTCCTGTTGTCCTATTTATAATTGGTTCTGATGGCCTGTGTACATGTCCACCTTTCAATATTAGGTCAGTGTTAAAGCTATTATCAACCTAAAAGGTTGGATTACTACCACGATTCAGCCTTTGTTGCCCCACAATGCTATAAATTATATTATGATCTATTGTTAATAATATGCAACATAGAGGTCTGATGGAATTGTGTTAATGAGAATGCTGAAGCTTCATTGACTTGCAATATCATTAGAGCTCTGAGGCAGGTTTATAGCCTTGTGCAAAGTATATTTGTGTTGATTTAGACACAGTATTTATTTGGTCACACCCAGCCAAATGTTTCCTTACTAAATTAAAATAAATGCTGGTTAGTTCAATGAGCTACAAAGATATATAGTGTAATTTCAGGTTCTCAAGACTGAGAAAATAAGCTCCAACAATGGAAATCGGTAGAGGATCAGAAATGATGGATATACTAGAGTGATTATGAACAAAGAAGGAAGGGAGTTCACCAAGTTGAGTGAAGTTAATTTTTTATGACTCAAGCAAACATATGAAATTTGGAAAGAACAGCTCCCATTTGTAGTCTGCTCTGATCTTTTTGTAACCCCTCCCTGCATATGCATGCATACACACTCGCAAGCATGGTCAACCAAATCTAATAGTAATGATTGCTGTCTTTGCTTTTGCAAGACTTGCCTCTGTAAAGCATCTTAGTGGCTGGAGGAGAGCAGGTCATTGGCAGGTCCTCCATGTACTAATGCCAGCTTTGTGGTACTAATTAACTTGAAGGTCAGCAGCATCCACCTGAATTCCATTGCAGTGAGAATCAGGCACTGGATCTGCATCACCTGTACTCCTTTGTGCTCTGAACAGCTCTGCTCCTTGCTGGAAACAAAGCAGAAGTGATAAAATTACTTCCTTTTTTCTTCCTCAATAGTGCTTCAAATGAGGCAATGATAGGAAAAGCTTTCTAGAGTTTTTGGGGAATAGCTCATGCTCTGTGTGGGAGACTGGATCCCCAGGTGGGCAGTGCATGAGATAGCAAGGGAGATTAGAAGAATCAGTACCATACTGGTGTGGCAGCTGTTGCCTGCTTTGGGAAATGAATATGTAAGGAAGCTTCAAGTTTTCTCGTGAGTAGTACCTCCTTGCTGTAGCCATCTCTGAGTTTGATCACGGGGATTGTTGTCTCTGCCTCCTGCTTTGGGGCCAGGCAGTTGCATCAGTCGGTGACATGGTGGTGGTGCTGCTCATGCCAGCCTAGCATTGGGTTATGATTTCTGCAGACGTTTTTATTTTATGGGAATGGAGATGAGGATAACTCCAGTGATTCTATAAGCAAGTCCTACGCCAGCTTATCTGTGGAGACTACAAAGGCTTGGAGCACAGGGAAATTTGGTAGTGGGAGGCTGGGCTGGGTTCGAGGAGAGCAGGCCTTGTGCCTGTGCTGCTTGTATGCCGTCACAGCCAGGGAGGTGGAGCTGAAATCAGTCTGTCCTTAATCGCATGGGTTAAGACCCCGCCCTGCTCTGGAGAAGGCAGAGTACAGCATACACCCACAGGGCTGAGCAGAATTATAGGTTCCTCTCCCCTCCTCCATCCCACGTCCATTTGGCAACAGTGCACCAACCTTACCTGGCTGAGTCTGGCAAAGGGAGGACTTCCACCTCCTTGGGATATCCCAGGGGTGTCGTTCATCAATGCTTTGAAATTGGTAACTGCTATGAGTGCTAAGTGTTATTACTGGTTACTGGTGTCATCAGTGCGTAGCTGACCTTAACTCATTTCTCGTGGTAATTCCCTTGGTTAAGGTGGAGAAAAGGAACCTGCTTGATTTTGCTGTTTTAAGAAGCTGCTGTTTCAGAAGCTCTAGCTATGCCTGTGATACATAGCCCTGCCTGACAGCAAGGGTGAGAACTCAGCTTTCTCTCTGAGGTGTGGAGCTCCAGTTTGGACCATCTCCCATATTTATATATCTTTTTATATCAGACAAGACCTACTAGTAACAAAATCTGTTAAAATGTTGCCATTGACTCAAAATATCATGAGGTCATGAATCATTATTTGAGGCCTAGCCCTTCCCCCTCCAAGTGTTTTTTAAAATCCTGATTTTGTGTTTATGTTAATGTAGTCGTGCAGTGGGAATGTTTGGTAAAATTGCTGTTTAATTTACAATAGAAGAATGCTTTAGCAGCTGTTTTATAGCAGTTTAACTACTCTGACCTAAATGACTGTTCTTAAGAGATTGAAAAGTAATTGAAAAGGTGAAAAAGTCCAGGACTGTCCTCTCTTTTTTTTTTTTTTTTTTTTTTTTTTTTTCCATTTTGTGTGTTTCTTTTTTAAAACGTCTTTGAAACGGCTTTATAAACAGTTTTAGTTCCTCTGCAGAATTCAGATGAAAGAGGAAAGAATGCCAGTTTACTGGGACTTGTTCTCTGACCACCTGAGAAAAATAAGTTTTTCATCCTCTTGAACATCATCTGGAGTAATAATAAAACATGCTCTCAGCTGGATTCCTTCTGTGTGAAAATAGACAGAGCTACATCACTGCACACCTAAAGGAAGGACACAGAACTACAAAAGCAATCTGAAATCTGGATTTTTTTTCTGCTCCTTGGAGACCACAAGTAATTTTCTGTAATCTTAATGAATTATTTGAATCTTGAAGGAGGGATATACTTCTCATTCTCTCACCCTGAGTAGACCAAAGGGCCAGAGCTAGAGATCCTTTTATACACAGATAAGTCGCCTGTGAGGGTCATAGTGTGAAAACTCCTAGCAATAGCTATTGAAGGAACGGAAAAAATCCACAAAACTAAAAGGTAATTTGGGAGTATTCACTAGTAGGCTAAAAAAACTTCAGCTGAATGTTCATTCCAATCTGTTGCAGATGAAAGAAATGTGGTGCTAGTGGCTTGGAATCCTGGGGTGATAGACATGTGAAGAATACATAAAAGATGGATGTTAGTTAACTAGTGCTGTAGACAGGCCATCCTGCTTGTCTGGGGAGCTGGTCCTGAAAACCCTCAGCCAGGCAAAGGCTTTTGTTGATTTGAGGGTGACTGTGCACTGGAAGGAAGGTTCCCGGGCCCGGGCATATGGCAGTCAGATGATGGCGGTGCAGCTCCCGTGATGTGCTCTGGACTTGTGGAATGGTTAGATGACAAAACTCTGCAACTTCACATAAGTGCGCTGTAATTTGAAGCTGTTCTGCAGGGAAACTGTAGGCAGAAGTACAATTTCTAAGCCTGATATAAATTCCATCCTATTTAACTGCCATCAGTTCTCCTGCTGCAGATTAGCAAACCAAGGGAAAGAACAAAGCGATGGAGGGATTTGATCTGGCTTCACAATGCAATTGAAAAACTCCTCATTAGATGAGCTTTTTCCATAGCTCCAAAAGCACAGCACTGAGGTCTTTGCTGTCTTCTGTTGCCGTATTGTTGTGTCCTGAGCGGGCAGCTGGTCCATTGGCTTCCTTTCCTGTCTCCTGCTGATTTTTTTAGTGGTTCAGTCACTGTCTTTTGGATTTCCTTCATCTTGTCTCTCTGTCTTTTTGGGTTTTTTTAATGCTTTCGTTCGCTTTAACTCAAATTGGCTGATGCACATATCTCCTACGTGACTCTATCTGTGATGCAAGAATCTCTCCTTTAGCTCCTTCTGATGCTTTTCCAGACCTCAGGTACTCCTGTTCCTTGATTCCAGATTGTGACGCACTGAAGTAATTTGCCCTGTGTTTTTGTTTATTTGGCTAATTACTCTTCACATCTCCTTCAGCCCTTCCCAGTTGCCATTCCACATGTTGCTTGTCATAGTTCTCACTCCCTTTGTTTGACTTTGCTTTTTCCAAGGCTAGTTACTGAGCCTTGGCAGAAATGTTACAGCAGCTCACAAACAGCTGTTTTTTGCTGTGACAATAGGCTGATGTATGCCTTGAAAGTGAACACAGAGGCCTGCATATTAAATGCTTACAGTGTTGTGACAAGCACAACCAATTTTTTGAAATCTTTTTCAAAAAATTAAGGTGGGGATTAAAAATTGGAAATAATTGAAAAAAAAACATTCCAAAACTGAGGAGCAGGCATGCTTGAGATGAGTCACACAGTATCAGCTGTGAGGAAAATCTCAAAGACGATCTCTTGCAGTGCAAGATTTCAAGAGGAGAGGAAAACACCATGGCCCCCATGATGTCCCGCACATAGGCAATGCAGCATGTGGGTGCCTGCACAATTTCTGCTGGGTTGTATCCCAGTAGAGGGATCATGGAGAAAATGCAGCTCTACTTACCCAGCAAGATAGGGTGTTCTCATTTTACAGAATTAATTTCTTGCTTCAAATACACTGTTTTATCAGACAACTACATCATGATCGCTCTGAGCATGTATTTTAATGACTGTTTTGTTTTAAAGCTGTGTGGAATATGCTACTGCCTTCATCCTTCTCTCTTCTCTGTGTCTTTCCTCCATCTTTCCATGGCTTTTCGCCATTAATGTTCGATGCACGCTATAAGGTATGTCTGTCAGTGGGTATTACTTTCACCAGCTTTTCTTTGCAGTAGTAGGTCTATAAATGGCAGACAGCATCATTCCTAATTACATGTTGCCCCCAGATGCTCCATGGGTGATGCTGATGGATTGCTGTGTGGGTGGTGTTGAAGGGGCTGGGGGAGGGGGAGCTGGGTTGCAGCTCCTCTAAGTGGTAGCAGAGGTCTCTCTTCGGGCTGGATTCATCAGTCCTCCCTCAGTAAAGTGATCTTGGAAACCTCTGAGATTGTGCATCTGGGCATTGGAAAAGGGGAAGTAATGCGGGAAAGGCTTTGGGATACAACCAAAACAAATGGGGCAACAGGAGGAGATGGGAGAAACAAGGAATTTACCCCTTGCCTATCACTGCAGAAACCACACAGCACGGACGGCTGACAGACTATGCAAGCTGCTAAATCATGCTTTCTTGATTTCAGTTCCCCCCTAGCCCTTGACTCTGTGCCGGGCGGTGTCAGCGCTGCAAGGCAGAGCCTTATCGCAGCAGGCTGCCGCAGTTGGAGGGCTCTGCCCTGCCGGCTGCAAGGGCTCAGCTTCATTTCATTAACGGTATTTCTGACAGCGACCTCCTGCATGGATTAAGATATCCTTGTCGTGGTTGAGGGCAGATGGTGCTTTGGAACTGAATCAGGCCAGTTTTGGGTACCAAAAGTGCAGCTGTGGAGCTGGCAGACCGAGACACTGACTTCTCGCTTGCTCTGAGGCCAGGTCTGTAGAGGACGTGGGTAGAGGAAAGGCAGGAACAAGCGTCAGCAGAGCCTGCCTTTAAAAGGGACAGGCCCTCCTCAGCACAGGGATTGACATGCCTGCATCAGCAAACTGAAGAGGAAGAAGGGAAAGCTGAGTGATCCTGGACGTTGAAAGAATGCTCTCCAAACCCCAGAGCAATCCAAGGAAAGGTGAGGAGGTGAAAGCAGGGATTTCCAGTCAAGTGTTTGTCGGTTTTGCACAGACCTTTACTCTTCAAGGGCTACTAATGGAGAAGGAGGAAGTGAGAGAGTGCACGTGTGTGAAAGCACATCTGCAAATTCTGTTTCCTTCCCTCTTTAACTGTCCTGTGGTCCTTGAAGGGTTTTGTATTTAGTGTGCCTAGCAGGTCAGCCTGCCAGCAGGTCAGCTACTAGGAAGACATGGAGGGAGGCAGGCAGTATGGGCTTGGGGGACTGAGGCAATCGGAGTCCATGGGCTTTTACATCCCAAGCTTGGTGCCAGGCCAGAAATTCGCCCCATTGGAGTGTGCACTGAAACTAGGAAGTGTCTTGGGATGGTGTGCAGAAGCACATTTGAGAATGTAAGACATTAACTGCTGTATCAGACTGATGGTCCACCCAGCCCTGAGCCCGTCGGGCTGAGCGGCAGGAGGCAGTGCTACCTACAGCGAGCAGGTAAGCCTGGTCACAATCTGTAGCCTGTCCTCTCTGTACTCCCCCAGCATCCCCAGCTGTTGGATTTGGGTGTTAGAGGCTCATCACTGCCTAACCCTTCTAGTGTCTGCTTATGGACCCATTGCCCCCTCACTCAATTTTATCAAGTCCTAGAGTTACTTGCTTGAAAGAGCTTAGTGTCACATACAAACTTGAGGACTTCACTGTACGATCCCCTCTTCAATTACTCACTGAAAATGCTGAGTAAAGCCAGTCCCACCATCAATCCCACATCGGGGAGACCTTGCTGATGCCTGTTCTCCACCCCAAAAAGTGAATATTTAAGCCTTATCTTTTGCTTCACGCCCTGCCTCTGATTTTCTATCTGTAAGAGTTTCTCCTCCCATCCTGTGGCAAGTTAGTTTCTCTGATAACTTTTGGTGTGGAACCTCATCAAAAGCTTTTTCAAAATTGGACTGTTTGGTGTCAGGTGGACCTGCTCTCTGTCTTTACTGACGCACTCCAAGGACTGCGGTGGGCTGGTGAGGCAGGGTTTCTCTCTGCAGAAGCCACACTGCCTTGCTCCCAACAGACCATGTTTATCCCTGTCTACAGTGACTTTAGTTTTTTTAGATCCTACTGCCATTAGCAAGGATGGATGGCAAGCTTCCTGGTCAGCAGTCCCCAGGACCCCTTCTAAAGGCCTTTTTGTGCCTAGCAGTTGCAATGGCAGGTTGCCAGCCCTCTGGCCGCCTGGTGCTTGCCGTGCTGGGCTACCCTCCTCATCCAGTGCAGCTGGAGGCTGAGGGGTGAGGATGAATGGTAGTCAGGATCAGAGTAGAGTTTTGCTCAGGAGTGGAAACCACCATCCAGAGAAATGTCAATGTCAGCAATTCATATTTTTTTAACTACAAAACACATTTGCTCAACTTCTGAAGTGAGTACTTAGGTGCCAGTTATTCTTTCCCACTCTTCCTTCCGTAGGGGCAAGGCATTTTACATGGCTTCTCATACACAGGCTATAAAATACAGAGAAGATGTATAGAGATTAGATGATAATACAATTTCTGTCATAGGTCTCATACCTGCTATTAATATATAATTGGTAATTGGTGGGATATTCCCTACAGTGTGATGGGAATATCTGCATTGTCAGTTTATTGGAATAAAAGGGGAAATAGAGACCGTAATTCTACACTGAAATCTTGCAGATTGGGATTTAACAGAAGAAATGAGCACAAAACTGAAGAACATAGCTAAATATAGACCCTTTGGGCTAGAGAAACACCACAATGAAAAGTTTTTGGCCCAACTATTAAACACAGATATTTCTTACGCAACATTTGATGAGGGGCAAATGCTGCTAAGGAGACTCTGAGAGGATCCAGCTCAAGCAAGAGGCTGGAATGCAGCAAAGTCTTTTCTTGTGCCCACTCACAGGCAATGCAGTTTTGCAGGTAATGCTTTTTACTGATCATCACAAGATGGGGAGAAAGGAAAATACAAATGCAAAAAAGAAATAGTGAACAGTAAACAAAAACACAGGAGGCAGCAGCAGCAAAAGATGTCAATTTTTTGTTGGGCTCGAAGTGACTGCTGAGGAGCTTTGTTCTGGGAAGAGAAAGTGCCACAGCAGGACGGGAATGCTTGGCTTGGGCGGGCTGTCATATCTGTCATCATTATAAGCATGGACAGATGATGATGATCTCTCCATTCTGTTTC